TTTCAAATTATTTAATTTTTTCTTTTTCTAGGTAAAATTAAATATTCAGAAAGAGTCTATGAAGCTTGTATGGAAGCTTTTGATAGCCTGCCTCTTGCTGCACTTTTAAACCAACAGTTTCTTTGTGTTCATGGTGGACTTTCACCAGAAATACACACACTGGATGATATTAGGAGAGTGAGTATATATTTTAGTTCCAAGGTTGATTACTATTTATAGTACTTTGTTGAGTAGAGAGTAGAAGCTTCAAAATTCTCTTTGCTGCCAAGATTAGGTAATACTAAAAATTAAGATACTGATGATATTTTAAGGAACTAAGCTTCTAATCATTCAGAACTATGTAGTATGGACTATATTCAAAGTTGGTACTGCTTTCCTGTGTTCATTCTGTCCTTATTTTTTGATGAATTATTTCTGTTCTTTGTTTTTTTCTTTTCTTTCACAGTTAGATAGATTCAAAGAGCCACCTGCATTTGGACCAATGTGTGACTTGCTATGGTCCGATCCTTCTGAAGATTTTGGAAATGAAAAATCACAGGAACATTTTAGTCACAATACAGTTCGAGGATGTTCTTATTTTTATAAGTAAGGAAAAATCCAAGATTAATCACATTTTAGTTGCTAACATAGCATATACTACATACAAAAAAAATCGTCATTTTACTTAATTTACTCTTTTTCCCCCACAGCTATCCAGCAGTGTGTGAATTTTTGCAAAACAATAATTTGTTATCGATTATTAGAGCTCATGAAGCTCAAGATGCAGGGTAAGAATTCTGTTTCCCTGACCCAAATTAACACCTTAAATACAAATCAATCTTAGTATCCATGACTGATGCTTTACGATGCATATTAAGCTATTTGTTTTGCAGCTATAGAATGTACAGAAAAAGTCAAACTACAGGGTTCCCTTCATTAATAACAATTTTTTCGGCACCTAATTACTTAGATGTCTACAATAATAAAGGTAAGATGTTGTTGATAAAAAAAATTGTTAAACAACTTAGCATTTTAATTGACTTATTTTTTTGAAAATAGAAAAGGGGTGTTGTATGAAACTATATCTATCCAAATCTCATTATAAAAAACTATAAGATATAAGGGAGGGGAGAGAACAAGAAATAAAAATCCAAAATGTGAAACTGAGTCATATATAACCATTCCACAACTTGTCACTTACAAAAACTGTTTTGTAAAAAGTGCTCTGAGTTAAGTACATCAAGCAAAATCAAACATGGTTTTCTCAAACTCCCCTTTCTTAAATCTTTCCCCTTAAAATCAAGAGAATTTTTGTTGTTTGTATAAAGCTGCTGCTGCTTTGATGATTTTTTTTTATTTGCACTGTCTACTTGTTTAGTTTATCATGTTTCTTGTTTTGTGTTTACCGATCTAGGTTCTGTTTCCCTTTCTTATTCCCTACTTTTACCTCCACAGTCTTATCACTGCCCCATGAAGTACTTTTTTGTATTTGAGCTTTCCTTGATTAAGCCATACTAACCTCATTTGAAGGATATGTTCTTCTCTTTCTTTCTACTGCTTTTTTCCATTTTTTCTTAAATCTTTTTTTCTTTACCTTCTATTCCAGTGGTTTTCATTTCCCCTTTGTCCTTGTGAATTTGATCTGTCTATAGTAATTGGATTTCATTTTATTTTAAACATAACTATTGACAGATGATACCAAAAAGTTTTAATCTAGTTTAAGTGTGTGCCAAGGACCTTGAAGATGAGATTGAGTATGTTTATGTAGTTCACATCTTCAGAAGAGGAAATTAAGAGGCCAGCTTCTATTCTGTCTTGACGTGTCTGGAATTCAGTTGACTATGCCATAGCTTCAGGATCAGACTGGAGTGTATGTGCCAGGAGGAAAGAACAGAAGGTTAAAGACTTTTAAAAGTACATTTAGGGAGATGATGAGGTCATTGCTAAATAAGGGTCATGGTGTAAGTTCAAAAGAGGAGCAGAAAAAGAATTTTTTTGGGTGATGGGAGATGATGGTTAAAAGATTAAAAGATTTGCCTGAGATCGAACAGTAGTATGCTGGGTAACAGAATATGCCATAAGAACTTATACTGTAGATATCTAATGAAATGTGACTTCATTTTTGCAAAGAAAGATATCTAAGTTTTGACTCCATTATAAAAAACAGAATTGACTGTTAACATTTAACAAACTACCAGTGCTCTAATTCCTCAACTGTGACTTCCCTCGTCAGTATTAAAGGAGCTAGAGTTCTGTGCTGGGTTAAGTACTGCCTTACTGGTTGTCCTTTGTCAGTTTGACTCAGGAGGTTAAGGGATCAATTTTTTTAGTACTTAGAAAAGAAACTCAAACCATTGACTCTGTCTTGTCAAAATCAAATGTCTCTTGATAGTTTTGAGTCTGTATAGAATAGTGTTAATGATTTGAGTGTTTACATAGTGTGTGTATGTTTGTAATGTTTCATTCCATCCATAAGGCAATTTTCTAGATTTTTCTCTCTCTCTTTTTTCACCTTTAAATAAGTCCTGGAAACTTGGTATCAGCTCATAATTTTTTAGGTTAATTTAAAGTACTTTCATTTCACATGGGAATTTCGTAAGGGGAACAAACATATACCTGTTAAGTTAGTAAATGATAACGTAGCAGGATTGCTTTTGATTCTGCATTAGCCAGAATCACAAATCTTGGAATTTAACATCTACATTTCAATACTTTTTGTCAAAATTTTTTTTAAAACCACATAATTATTATATATGCACAGCATTTTGTATTTTTATGTAGTTTCATGTAAAATACATTCTGTGATCTTAAAATAAACTATTTTATAAGTGAGAAACATATTAGTTGAATAATTTACCAAGCATTGCACAGCTAGTATGTGCTGTAGTTTTAGATTTAAATCTAGTCCTGCTAACCCAGTGTTCCATAAAGTAATACAACCAATGACTGAAATCTATGTAGGTTAATTTAAGATATTATGTCAGCATATTATATCTGAAATGGAGATGAATATGTTACTTTTGCATTATTTGGTTATAATATTTTCTCTTTTGGTATTTTAGTGTTTTTTTTCCCTAAATGAGGTAAAATATTTCTTTATAATAGTTTTGTCTCACTTTCCATATTAAGTGAAACAAATACATTCATACATTCATAAATAAAATGCTCCAAATTAGTGGGATTTTTTGTTTGTTTGCTTTATTACCATTCAGCTGTACTTCTCGGGTTGCCTGCAGCTAAAGACTCTCTTAAATTCCTCAATTTATATGAACTTTAAAAACCTAGAAAATTGCTCATTGCCATTCGATGTTTCCTCTAAAAATTGAGTTTTCACGATTTTGGATTTAGTAAAAGTGCATGTTCATCATTGGATTATAAAGTAAAACAGACATTGTGAAAAGAATCTGGAAATTTTATTAATAGTAATAAGCGAAGATCTGACTATTGCTATACATAAAAATGTGTTAAAAACAGAAGACGTTACTACTAAAAATTAGTTCATTTCCCCCTCTGCCAAACTTGATTCCACTCACCCCCGATGCCCTTCCCTCTTAAAAAGATATTTTTCTGCTTTTATGTATTTTATACTTTTGAGGCTAAAGACAAATTGTTACATTGACATTCAAATTATCTTGCAGCTGCTGTATTAAAATATGAAAATAATGTGATGAATATTCGACAGTTTAACTGTTCTCCACATCCGTACTGGTTGCCCAATTTTATGGATGTCTTCACATGGTCTTTACCATTTGTTGGAGAAAAAGGTATGATTTTTATTAAAAAAAAAAAAAGAATTGTTTCATTACTGTTACATTTACTCCAGTTTACTATCATAGGTACATCTTGCTAAAGGAAACTAGAGTCTAGTTTCACTATGGTTACGGCTCTACTTGTGTCAGTGGGTGTGGGTAGGAGAGCCTCAAAGATATTTTAGTTAGCTGTTTACAGCCCCCATGTGAGAGTGTCTGGGGGACTGGGAGAAGACTTATAAATAGCCTGATGTTGTCTTCAGCTGTTGGATATTTTTTCTTTTTTTCTTTAGCTTAAATCATTTATGAAGGAATGGAGGGATAGCTTTTTTTTGGAATGGACCCTTCTGCATATTTTAACACCATTTTTGGACATGCCACAGAAATTCATGAAGGAACTTAAAAGTCTTCATTTTGACAATATTAGTCACTTTATAGCAGTTCTGTACTCTGAGAGAAATGATAAAGAGAAATTTAGATTCTAACCTAATATTTCTTCTTCTATATAAAAAAATGTATAAAATTTTAGTAGTGATGCTTTTCTGATAATTTAGAGGAACACCTATTAGTACATACTTAAAAGGCTGTTTAAGAGAAAATAAATGTAATTTAAGAAATTTTGTTTCTAACTTTTGTTTCTAGTTACATAAAATTCTTAGGATTTCGTTACTTACGACATTCTTCTTTTCCATTTTAGTGTTAATGTTTTCACAAGGCAATGCCTCAGTTTTCATATGTGGAAAATGATAGTATGAGAGTATAGACTTGATTGTAAAACATTTTGTTCTATATCCCTCTCTAATTTTTTCTCACCTCTTCCATGTTACAAAATGTTCCTTTCTGTATGAAATATGTTCCTTCTGCCAAGGCAATTTGTGGTTCTAACATTCAGAATTAATACTTAAACTTTGTGTGTTGACTAGGTTTTCTTCAGATTGCCTTTGGTCTTCTTCTTTTACTCAGTAGGTTCAACATTAAGTTAATATGAAGCTAGAATTACCCTTTAGCATTTGAGAAGGGGGCCAGTTAAGGGCTTAGGTGCAAGGGATGCATTACACTTACAACCTTCTATCTTTGGTATATGAGAAATAGTTCAGTCATAGCATCATCAGGCTAAAGTGAATTTAAGAATTCATCTTGCTCACTCTCCTGCCTCCAGGCTAGACTGCAACTCAACTATTTTAATATAATATGGGGAGGGTGAAGGAGTCAGGAGGATAAGGTAGGAGAAAATGGACATTTCATAGATCTCTCTAATTCGGTTCTCTAAAGTTCCCATGTAAGGAAATATTTCATTATATCTAATCTAAACGTTTATACTGTGTTTAAACAAGGAAAGAAATAGATAATAGGTTTTTCTCAACTAGTGCACCTATGAAAAACCAGGGCATCGTAGAGCTTTAGAGCTCATAAGCGAACTTAATCATTTAGTCCAACTCGTTGTGAGAGATGAGAAAATTTAATATGATTTCTGTGGCTTTCTTACAAGTGAAGATGGAGAACAGTAAGCTTTTCTCAGTGTTCCGTATTTGAAGTCTGCTACTAAGTGATCTTTGGTTCTTCCTTGCCACTCTAACTCACCTTATCTCTTATAAGGAAGTATGCAAACCTTTTGACTATTTTTTGTTGTTTTTCTGTGGATCTTCTCTGAATTATTCACATCTTTCTAAAAATGTAAAGCTCAGATTTTAACATTACATGTGAATAGAATGCTAACCTGTGTTGAACACAGTAAGAAAATTTTCTCAAATTCTTTGCATATCTTACTATTTTAGTATTTGATAGCTGTTCAGGTAGCCTAACTACTTCTTGATTCTAATGTAAATTTTCTTTTAATGTGAAAAGCAGCAAGTGACATTTCATTTGTTCTACTTCCAAAAAGTCAGTTTAACTCTGGTCTAGTCCCTGGGAAGCAGCTAACCACCTAAGCCAAAGGCTTCCTGAAAGGCTGGTTTAATCCCAAAGTTAGATGAAAGCAGTGTTTTTGTAACCTTTTGGGGGCTAAGGACCCCTTTTTGGTTTTATCTAAAGAAATCTTACATTGGCCTATAGTCCCAGCTACTGGGGAGGCTGAGGCAGAAAGTTTGCTTGGTCCCAGGAATTTGAGGCTGTAGAATGCTTTGATCATGCATGTGAATAGCCTCTGCACTCCAGCCTGGGCAGCATAGTGAGACCCTGTCTCAAAAAAAAAAATTACATTGAACAATTTACAACATGTACAAAGGTAGAGTGAATAATATGAATTTCATATGTACTAATTACTAACAGTTATCAAATCATGGCCAATCTTGTGTCATTTATATACTTATCCACTACTCCCCGCCCCACACCTCAGTTATTTTGAAGTAAATCTCAGCTGTTATTTTTTTTGTGTGTCTACAAGTATTTTAGAAAATATTTCTTATAATAAATTTTTTTAAAGTAACTACATTTAAAATGTGTTACTTTTTAAAGTAACACATTTTTTTAAAAGTAACTACACATAAACATAAAAACATTTATTAATTTCTTAATATAGAACTGTTTTGAGAATCTGATGAAAATTACGGAGTTTTGCACCAGAAAAGTTCATGTACAATATATGTACATACATGGAGCATTTTCAGGACGCTCATAGATCTAAAGTGAATTGGTAAACTCTCTCAGGTTTATTGACCCTAATTTAAGAACCTCTGTTCTAAAGGATCAATATGATGTGATCTTCTATAGAAGGTCATACATATAAGGTATATTCATTTACTAGATTTTTTTTGAAAGTCTGTTTTATTTAAGAAACAAAAGATTCAAGTAAGCTGTGGGTCTTTGCAGATTAATAGGGGACTTGAGATACATAAGTAATGATAATAACATGTAATGTGGTAGGTGGCCCAAGACAAGCATAGTTTTATAGGAGAGGAGAGAGGAGGTTATTTCTGTCAGAGGCATTAAAGTAGCTTTTTAATGGTGGCTTGAAGAATGGTAGAATTGTGCTGGTGGATATGATAAGCAAGAGAATTCTAGATAAGAGAGCTTCCCAAGTCTGAGTCTGAAAGCAAGAAAGCATAGGTCTCTGACAAATGTTGAGGGGTTCAATTTGATTAGCGAGTAGGATATATGAAGGACAGTAGTAGAAAAAAATGAAAAGTTATGTCAGGGCTAGATCATGAGGATCTTGATCACCACACAGAGAAGGTGGAACTTTTATAAATGGTGGCAAGCCACTGAAACACAGAATATGACCATGCTAGTCATTTAGCAAAATTACTGTGGTGAAGTGGAGTGGAAGGAAGACTAGAGGTTGGGAGACCTGTTACGAAGCTACAAGCAGAAATCAAGTAGAGACATCCTTATGAAGAAGCCCTGGTAGCATTAGGAATAAGAGTGGGGAAAACAGAAGAACTAATAGTAGAATCAGTGAGACTTAATGAGATTGCATGTTTAAGGGGTGGGAATGGTTGAAGATGACTTGGATATTTTCAGTCTGGTAAAGATGGTACCATTAACACACTCTGATGAGAAAACTCGTTATTACAGCAACCTTTACTTTGGTCATAGCTGCTCTTCATCTTCATTGAAATCTCTAAGTCTCTGACCATGTCAATTTCTTTTTTTTTTTCTTGAGACAGAATATCACTCTGTTGCCCTGAGTAGAGTGCCATGGCATCAGCCTAGCTCACAGCAACCTCAAACTCCTGGGCTCAAGTGATCCTCCTGCCTCAGCCTCCCAAGTAGCTGGGACTATAGGCGAGTGCCACGACGCCCAGCTAATTTTTCTATTTTTAGTAGAGACAGGATCTTACTCTTGTTCAAGATGGTCTCTAACTCCTGAGCTCACGCAGTCCTTCCGCCTCAGCCTCCCAGAGTGCTAGGATTACAGGTGTGAGCCACCATGCCCAGCCAACCACGTCAATTTCTTACATGTCAGATCCCCCTTGTTGCCCCGCTTCCTTTTTTCATTTTTTTAGGAGACAGGGTCTCATTCTGTCACCCAGGATGGGGTGCAGTGGTGCAATTATAGCTCACTGCAGGCTTGAACTCCTGGGCTCAAGCGACCCTCCCACCTCAGCCTCCTGAGTAGCTGGGACTGCAAGTGTGCACCACCACACTTGGCTGTCTCTTCCTTCTTAACACACCTTCAAACTCCTTTTTCTCATGTTTTTCTACTTCATTTGTCCTGTAAATCTTAGCTCTAGTCAAATCCAACCATCTATTTTCTCCATTCGTACAGCCTGGGTATAGAGTACTGCTGGAAATACTTATACAGCCTTATGAATTGGTGCCACCCCTTGATTTCTAGCATTAGCTGGGCTATCAGTAGTACCCAAACACTCTTTATGTCCCTAGTCTGCTTTTTCTCCCGTTTTCCTTAGAATGTGGTCTAAAGTTTCATCTTTTTTTCTTTAAATACTTTCTTTCTTCTTTCAGCCATTTCCCTTACTGAATGAAAATACATGATACTAATGGGAGCTTTCTCTACTTATTGTTGCCTGCTTTATAAAGTATATTCTTCTTGAATTCTTCCCTTGTTGAAGAGGTGACTCTTCCATCCAGGGCTAGCCCTTCTAATTTGTCCGTAGATTCTATTACCCATCTGCTTTTTCAGGAAACTTTCTTCATCATTCATGTCCTCTGTATCATCACACTCTCTACTAATTCTTTTATTAATTATTCGATCTGATCTTTAAATAAAAAGTAACATTTCTCCCATATGATATTTTTAACTACTACTGTGCTATGATTTTCTTTCTTTTTTTGAGACATTAAATGTCTCTTTTATTTTTATTTTTTTAATTTCAAAATATTAAGGGGGTACAGATATTTTTGATACATGGCTTGAGTCAGGGCTATAAACGTGCCCATCACCCAAATAGTGTGCATTGTATCCATTAGATGGGTTTTTGTCCCACCCCTCCTCCCCGCCCCCCTTGATTTCCAATGACTTTTACTTCCCTCTGTGCACCTGTGTGCCCATCATTCCAATTTATTAGAGAGTACATTTGGTGTTGATTTTCTTTCCTTTGCTACAACTTTCTTGC